GCTAAGCCTGCAAACAGGCTTTCCACATAGATGATAGATTCTGCTAGAACCTCACTGTTTACTCTTTAAATAAAACCACAGATCGAGTATTTGCTGCACTTTCATATTTTCCTCATGGGAGATCAAGGCAGTACTGCAATCCTTCTAACCAAGCAAACAAACACGTCTCTGGTGTCTCTCCTGCAGAAATAGTTAGCCTAGGGAACCTAGAGGATCTTTAACAATTAAATTCTGCAGGAAAAGCAGAAGCAGCATGCTTCAGGAGGAGGAGCAGATGAGGCAGCAGAAGGTGTGCAGCTGCGACCCAAACACCCAACCTGGGGTGGAGGATCCTGAACCTGCTGTCTGGACATGTGTGTCCTTTTGTTCAGACAAACTGTAAAGGGGCTAAAAGCAAAGGAAAGAAACATCTAAGCAACAGCCAGGTGGTCTCCAGGCTCACCTCCCCAGTTGTTGTCCTCAGTCAGTGCTGTCAGGTCCAACCGGGGCACGTCCTCACAGCTTGTCTTCTCGCAGTCTGAGTCCGGGCCGCGCACCTCTCCGCCGACCCTACCCGCGTCACAAGTGACCGGCGACTCCTGGATCTTCATCGTCTTCAACGTCTGCACAACCATGAGAGACAAGAAACGAGCGCTCAACAACAACAGGCTGCCTGTGAACACACTCTTTAAGTTGAGTCACACACTCCCTCAGACTAGCCCTGCCCTAATGTAGGGGGCTGCTCCCTGGCTGCGATTGGCTCCCCTAGTTGGTCAAAACATCCTCCCATCTGTCTTTAGCCGACTGCTAGAGAGCAGGAGCGGCTTCGCTCCGCCTTCTCCTTCATCCACAGGATTCCCCTCGCCCCTCCCGCTCTTCTTTTCCCTCTCTCTCTTCTCTCCATGGTAGTTTTCCCTGCTTTTTCTCTGGCTTGACATGCATATATTCCCCACCCGCCCAGCTCTGGACTTGTTTGTTTAACAGCAGCAAGAGCAGAAGGGAGGGGTGTGCTGGAGACACACAGAGAGACAGAGGAACAGAGAGCGAGGGAGGAGGGGCGTGAAGCGAGAACAAGAAAAAGCACAAATCGTGAGCCAGCACACGTAGACTGACTGAGTGATTTTTTTGCCCCCCCTCCTCCCTGCATCTCTCTCTCTGCAGACAAAAAATCAGATGAAGCAAAAGAACTTCATGTTATCCACTTCCTGCTTCCTGCTTTTTTTTTTTTAGTCCACATTTTTACCCATCAGCCTCTCCCTCTTTTTCCTATTTTTAGATTTGAGACTATCCAAAAATTCCACTTTGCTTATCCGAGATCAGAGCTGTTCCGTCAACCTTGGGCCGCACTGTAAATAATTTAGTTGAAAGGACTCGCACTTGGCAGCTCATGCATTTTCAACATATCAGTTAAATCTGTCCAGGCGTGGGACCAAACTATTTTTAGGGAAAACAAATCAGGACTCACAGCTACTAGACGGCTTAAAGGAAAGAGCTGCACTGTAATGTAGCTTTGTTTTGTTTTTTGGTTAATGATAGTTGTTGTTGATGATAATGACAGATTACTGTAGGAAAGAATAATCAGTCTCAGGTATGTGCATATGTATCCTTGTGGCTTTAGCGGAGGGCGCAGGGCCCAAAACAGGGTGTTATCAAGACCCCTCAGCTGTTTTGTGGGAAACAGCTCTGATGTCATGTGAACCACAGAGGATATGACCAGGATCTAATGGTGCCTAGAGAGAACGCGCAGACTGTGACGGACAAACAGAAGAAACTTCCCCTTCAACGCGCTTAGCGTCACACACTCACAAACCACGCAGCATCAGTTTATCTAAGATTGAATCCCTCACATACCCCCCCTCATGCACACGAGCCTTTAAAGTGCAGTGCACCATACTACAGCACATCATCTGACATGTTCTCAGTATTTCTTTACATTGTCAGACAAAGGCACTTTTGTTTGCCCCTTTGCAGCATCTGGCACATGCGTGACATGCCCAAGTATTTGTGAGTATTTATTGGCTCCAGCATCTTATCAGACGCTTTCACAGAGTCCCACAAACGGTCAGATCCACTGTGGTCTTTGAGTAAAACAACCTTCTCCTTGAATTGATGTTTGTTTAGCTTGTATGAAGCCAATCCTGTCTACTCTTGTTTCTTTAGTGGGCGAGTCTTCTTCACAGCTGAATAACAGGTAAACTGTTCATATTCAGA